CTGAACGATTTATTCAATAGGAGGATGCGTCGTTACTCACACAAATTGATGAAGCAGCACTCGAAAACTGTTGCAAGTTCCAACTTTTTTTTGCCTTGAGGGTGATAGACATGTAGAAACTTTTATCTAGAGATGTTGTGAATGCACCAATGCTGGCTGGAAGAAGAAACTGAGAATCCTGCTCAGATGAGCTGAAGGATTATCGACTAATTCTAATATGTTTTTTTTCCTTTTTTAATTTAGTTTCAAGCACCATTTACCCAAGTATCTCAGTCAATAATTAATCCAGGTAAAAGGAAAACATAAACGAAAAAAAACTTAGATTAATCATCATAAAAATCATTTCATCCGTGAAAGTTTCAACTTTAATAATTTCATCTTTGCCGAGAAAACTAGAAATTATTTTGTATCCATGAAAATTTGAAAGTAAATTTCGATTGTAAACTGTAACGCAAGATTAAAAATGTCATGTAAGTTTTGTTTCGTTTCTGGAAATAATTTTCGCTGATAAATAAATTGGAGCATGAAAACGTTATTACGCCATTTAAAATAAAATTAAGACAATAATTTTACAAAAAAAAAAAAAAGAAAAAAAAAGATAAAACTTACTTGCATTGACTGTTAAAAGAAATGGCAGGAGTGTTACAAGTAATAAAATCTTCATGTTTTAGGTTTAGTGGCTGCAATAGATGAACAAAAATATGTCCAAGTTAATTCTATTAAAAACTGGAAAATATAACGAAGAAATTATTTAAACTAAGGAACATTTAGCTAATAATCACGAAAAGAAATTTGCATTAGGTAGTGATCTGCGTGAAACTTACCGTTAGTCAAAACTTCCTTAGAAATTAATATACAATCGGAGGCGAAAAGTTTTTGTGTATGATTCCAAAATGATCAGTTATCCATTTGTAGATAACGGTGAGTATATGAAAGGGAAAAATGATTAAGTTTGATAAGTCATACTTATATATATATATATATATATATATATGTAATAGACTCTCTCTCCCTCTATCACAAACACTTTCTTTTTCTATCTTTCTCTCAATCCCCTCCGCTCTCTCTCTGCGATAGATTATATCTATATTCGAATCCTTGACTTTTGATTAATGAGTGGGGAGTGGAAAGTTCAAATGTTGAACAAGGACTAAATGCAAACTGAACCGCAACTGCTGATTGCAATTATCTTCTAGAAATACTGATATCAGTTCAAAATATTCCCCAATCTCTCGACTGGTACAAATTTCACTGTTTCAACAAATTATGAGAGTGTCTTTTGTTTGGAATCAATTCAAAGACGAAGTTACAAAGCTGGGAATCTATTGGTTGCTGTTCACCGGAAGTAGATAAAACGCCCCGGTTATAAATATTTATAAACGCTTCACAAATGGTAGGAGGTCGTAATGAACAGAAAAAAAAAAAAAGGACGGTATGATAAATTTAGGGTGGGTCAGAATTAATCGGAAAATGACTAGCGTATTTCTAAATCTTGTTTCTTGAAACTTTCACAATCAAATTAAAGTTGTTTAAAGTTCAGTATCGATTATTAATATGCTGAATAAAGATTTTGCATTTTGATATCAAGTGTGCATTTAACCAGGTACAATATTTGTTCAGCATCTCACCACAGATGCATAGGATTAACCATAACTCTTCCTGTTGTGCCAGTTTGGGAGAAGCGGTGTCTGGGGCGACGGTTTCCTGGAACTGAACACAAGAATTTACATGTTTGAGAAATAGAGTTTAATATTTATTTGTACGCGCAGATAATATATTTCTAAATAACTCGGGCTTATCTAGCAGTTAATGCTATAAAAACAATCATATTTATGAAAATGAGAGGAAAAGAGACACGAAGGAAAGATCAAGATATACTAACACATTTATTTCTTTTTCGATCCTTATTATTGAGCATATCTTCAGGCAGCACCTCTCTTATTTTAGTAAAAATGGAAGCGTTAGGACTAATTCCTGGGACCTCATGCGTCCGTTAATCTGAGATAGTGCAATAACTCACTCTCCTGGAGGTTAGCATCAGCCATACCGATAGAAAGCACAAAAGGTTATTGTTGTAGCATACCTACGGATGATAATGGGTATGTCCCCATTCACATAAATACAGTAGTAAATACTGTATGTTGGTCTGCACTCGGAGATTTGTCTTCGGCTGTGCTGGTCAAAACCTCTGCCTCCGAGCAGAGAGGATCCACAGAAGAGGCTATGTCGAAGGGCAGAGTCTTGTTTCGGGAAACAGCTACTCGACCCCGTTTTATACGGGGTCTATGGGGAATTTTTGGCCGAGCCTATGGGCTCGGATACCCCACATTAAATTCGGCCTTGTGCCACATCTGACAGCGTGGGGCGGTTGCCAGATATCCTACCGTTGGAGATTCATTGTGGAATTAACATGACTCATTTCTAGCAATTGACTATTTCTTTTACGCCCCGTTGGCGAATCTTATATGTGTTGTTCCTGTCCTAAGTATTATCGTTCATTACAGACCTTCGTGTGATTATTCTATTCAGTAACCTTCCCTAGGTTACAACAGTTCTCTACAACATTTAAAAGAGTGTAGTTTCGTTTGAGGAGGCATTAAAATTATCAAGTCATTTATTGCCCCAGTAAACAACAGATTGAAGGTTATTTTTTTAGATTAGCTGCCAATTTGACCCTATCGAACCGATCAGACTTACTATTAAGATATATATTAGCATATTATTAATATATGTGTATTTCTTATCCTCAATGTGGAAATGTTCTTTTCCACTTCTCGTCGTAATACGCGGCTGTTTGATTTCCTCAATTGCCATTTATAGTGATGATATCTTCCTTTCTTGTTTATTTTCCTCTCATTCTAATAAATATGTATATTTTTACCTAGCATTAACTGCTAGGTAAGCCTGATTTATTTAGGAAAGACATTAGAATGATCCAGAATTTATGCTGAGACCAAACCCCCTGCATACGGATAAAAATGAAATGAGTAAATACACGAAAATAGAAAGAGGCATAAGATAAGGATGTGTCTTCTCACCGGGCTTATTCAACCTATAAAGTGAGGTGATCCCGAGAGAATTAGAAGTCATACAAGGATTCATTATTGGCTGACACAATCTTAACAATATGACACAGTGTTGATAGCGGACACAGAAAGGAAACTACAAGAACTACCACATAAGGTAGTAAAGGAAGACACATTTTATAACGAAAAATGTCTTTCAAAAGCTAAGTAACATATTAAGAAACAAGAAAATTTCGTTACAAACAAAGAAAAAAGTGATGCTGTATACTATCAGTCCTCCTATATAGCAGTGAATGCTGGAAACTCTCTCACAGATGAAGAACTGACTTGAAGTAACATAAATTTGATTCTACAGAAGGACATTGAGAATACCATGGGCTAAACATGTGAGCGACAAGAAAGTTTTAGGAGTTTTTTTTTTTTTAGAAACAAAAATGACGGTTATAATTAAAATCAGAAAAAGACAATTGATCTTTTTAGGGAATATAATGAGGAAAGAGGGCTCTAAGATATTTGAAACTTACAGGACATATTGACGGTAAGAGAACAACAAAAAAAAAAAGACAAAACTTATTCAGAGCTACAAAAGACAGGAAGTTGAGGAGAGCGACGATCGCACACGTTTTGAAAGGAGACGGTACGTGTAAAAAGAATTAAAAATAACTTGTTTTTTTCATTCGTTTTCAATTTAGTCGGTTTTGGGTGTTTATAAAGAAGTAATTTATGCTCTGAAACCACCTTAGCATTTAGATCACTGCATTAAATAGATTTAAGTGATATTAAAGGGAAGTAAACCAGGTTGACATTTTTAATAATATCTTTTGAGTAAAATTCTAAAAGCATCCCGAATCTCATAACACTTTATGACTGTTGGGACGTCAAACAATGGATATGTCGAGGGAAAGTTATCTTGATGGAGTACATTACCCTTCAATCTTGTTTCGCATTCATAGATTTTATTCTCCTAGACTGGTTAGCAAACAAGGCTAGAAAGCCAAGTCTGCGCTGCTATTAACCCCTAGCTAGTGTGTGTTTGAGAGATGGATTCATACCTTTCCAAGGCTATTTTTGTGAAAGTGAGGGCTACCAGGCTCAGATTTTATTGAATTGCGTTCATTCCGCTATTTTGATTAATTTTATGGCTTCACATTTCATCACCACCGATCAGACCCCGAACTACCGCCAGTCACGATGAACGAATGCCCACCTCCTCGAGGAGGCTCCATGCCTTGAGAGAAAAAATTGGCCTTAAACTCAAACTCGGTTTCAAGTGGATATATGCGATCCCAAGATACAGGTAAATTGATTGGCTTCCTGTACCGCTCCAGTAAGTACCTCCTATCCTTTGCCTTCATGAGAGCCAGATCAGGCTGAAAATGGAGTACTGCTGCCATATGTGGGCAGGAGCTGTCCAGTCCCCACTTTCCAGTCTTGATAGAGTTCAAAAGCGTCTCCGAGACCTTCTTAGAGGAGAATTATTTTCTACCCTCCAACCTCTCTCTATCTCAGGCAGGATGTGCCGAGTCTCTTACTGCTCTATCGCTACTTCCATGGAAAGTGCTCGGACGAACTACATTCTTTGGGTCCACCAGTTAGAACCTTCACGGATAAGACCCGCCATGCCAGTTACACAGTAGCGAACCAACCACATTCCTTCCGTATTACATCGTTGAGAAGTAAGTTCCACTCAAACAACGTCTTCCCGTCAACCACTGTCCTGTGGAATCGACTCCCAACAGGATGTTTCCCTGATCACTACAACATTAACCTGTACAAGGCTAAGGTTAACCGTTATCATCCACTCCTATACACACAAATGGCCCCCTAACGTAACACTCTACCTCGGAGTTACTCGAAGGTTTGGATCCCTGACTATCAGGCAGATAACTCCAAAACCCAGAAAACGTCTACCCACATAACCCTTAATGAAGAGACGACCAATCCAGGAAAAAAAAATGCACGCGTGGTACTCTGAGTGGACATGTCGCATCTGCCCAGAAGTCAAGGCTACAGAACTCCTTGTTGGGTCAGAAACATCGTACCGGTTCGAGACCTAACGGCACCATGACAAGCTCGCTCATGTGAATTAGGATTGAAAGATTGATTGGGAGAAAGAGGGGGTAACGAGGTTTTCTTGTGTATGCATGTGCATCCCCTACCCTCCATTTGAATTAGTATAGTAGATGTTTACAGGGGGGGGGGGTTGCAATGGGCAAGTTATCTATTCAGGAGAGAAAAAAATTCTGGCTTACAAAGGA